TTTGTTATTGCTTTATTTAATATATTTTTAATTAATTTAATTTTCTTTTATCTTTGATTTATTTAGTTTAATTTAATATAACTTTTTAATAACTTAATTTGATTTAACTAATTTAAATTAATTTTATTTTTTTATTCAACATCCTCGTTATTTAAAATTTATTTTTATTTAATTCTAATTAATTTAGTTTAATATAATTTATTTAATTTTTTCGACTTATTTAGCTTAATTTCATTTCATTTAAATTCTTTTTTTTTATTTTAATCAATTGAATTTCATTTTTTTTTATTCAACATACTCGTAATTTAAAATAGTTTAATTTGCATTAATTTAATTCATTTAATTTTGTTTAATTTAATATATTTTTATATAATTCAAATAAATTTAGTTTGATTTAATTTATTTTAATTAAATTTAATTGAGTTTTATTTCTTATTGCTTAGTTTAATATCCTTTTAATTTTCTTTTATTTCTCATTTATTTAGTTTAATTTCATTTTAGTTCATTTTAAATATTATTTTTGTTTTAATTTATTTTATTTTAAATTGATTAAAAGAATTTTATTTTCTTTTTATCTATTTTTTCATATTTTTATTTTATTTTATTTATTTATTTTATTTAATTTTTTGTTTTATTTTTTTTTTAATTTCACTTAAAATGTTATTTTATTTTGTTTATTCTACTTTTTATGGCTACAACTTTTCAACAATGACCATCATTTCTATTATATATATATATATATATATATTTTATAGTTATTTCTATCAATAAAACTGCACTTTTCTTCAAATTATAGTTACTTTTTCCCTCTGCTTGCTTGTTTGTGTCTTCTGTCTTCATTTACTTTAATCGCGAAATTAGTAATTTGTAGCAGATTATCTTCGAAATAGCAGGCGCTCAGCTCTATTAGATCAGACGCAATTTGTTGTTGTTGCTGTTGTGCACAAAACTTGGTTATTCAACGTTTATATTTTTCGTATTTGCTAATTAGGCGCCCAGAATGTGTTATTGTGTTATCGGTTTTCATACAAAGCACACACAGACATATATCTCTATTCTCTTCGCTCACTCGTTGGTAACTGTATGCCGCTGCTTATGTGCCTGCGTTGGTATGTGTGTGCCTGTGTAGTGGCGCGCTTTTGATTTGTTATTTTTATAAGCTTTTTAACTTATCTACAAAATTCCGCTACAAAATAAATCGCAATATGTGAATACTCGTTTAACATACATATGTACATATGTATGTATGAGTAAGCGTACACTTGAATTGGGTTGAGAGTTAATGCGTGTGATAGACCGAAAAGGAGAGGTTTGTTTGTTTTAATGCTGTAAAACCAGCAACAAATGGAACCTCGGACCCCTCTAAATATTCAAAACCCCAAAATTCTTAAAGTTGCTACCAAAATAGTTCACATTAATTAAAAGAAAACAGTTTTGCTGGAGCTGTCTGTCTGACAATGCTAAGTGGCAGTTCAAATAAAGGAAATAAAAATTAAATCAAATAAAATAATTAAAAAATTACATAAAATAAAATAAAATAAAATAAAATAAAATAAAATAAAATAAAATAAAATAAAATAAAATAAAATAAAATAAAATAAAATTAAACAAAATAAAATAAAATTAAATACAATAAAATAAAAAAACTACATAATAAGATATAAGAAATTGAATTGAGTTATATTAATTAAGATCAATAAAATAATTAAATTAGTATAAAATAAAATAAATTTCACTAAAATAAGATAAAAAATATGATTAAAAAAGGAAATAAAAAAGTTATATAAAATTAAAAATAAATAAATTGAAATAACATAAAATATACTAAACTAATTTATTAAGAAGAAAAGCAATTTCTGAACGAAAAATTAGTCAATGAAGAATAGAAATAGAAAATATATTCTCTGGAACTTTCTCAGACCATATATTTTTGGGAATATATTTGTAAAAAAAATACAATAACAATTTTTTATTTAAAAATATGATTTTTTCAACGATTTAGTAATAAAATGTAATAATTTCTTATTTAAGCTTAAAATCAAGAAAATGTATGTACAGAAGAAATGTTAAAACATAATTTAAGTAAGCAATTCAAACAAAAAAAAAAGATAAATTAAATAGTTAAATATTATGCTACTTAATAAAAATAAATGTATCCAACTAATTTAATGTGTTATTTTAAATAAAAAGTATTTTATTGTTGAAAAAGTTAAAACAACAAATTTCTTTAAAAATTAAATATTTTTGAAACGAATTTCTTTTTTTGCAATTATTAAATTAATTTTCTCCATAAATTAAAAAAAAAAATGAGATAATAGGAAGGGCATACACATTAAGGCTTCAAATTAAAGATAAACTAAATTTTTCATTTACTTCTGAGTTAGTTTATTAATTCGCATATTTTAATAAATAATTGACCACTTAAGACTTTATAAAAATAATAAAAAAATTTAAATATAAAAGAGAGCTATAAAATATTTCTTAATATTTAGAATTGTGTAAATAAATATATAAAAATAGTAGAGAAGAAGTAACATTATTTTTACACGTAAAAAAAATTAGAAATGCTTCTGAATAAATTTTTATAAATATAAATAATTTAACATTTTTAAATATTTTGTTTAATTTATTTAAATATTTTATTAAATATTATTTATGAAGTGAAATAAAAGTAAATCTGTTAACTCTTCAGATTGTTTCATGTTGAAAAAATGCGAAAAAATGCTCCTCACAAATAAAAACACAATATTTTTATATATATTTTTTTCACATATTATTTGCTTTATTGTTTTACTGATAAATAACAGCATATTTTAAGTGCGTCATAATTATGTATGTTTTTCTTTTATCGAATATTAAAACTTAATTTTATAATATTTTATTTTTTCATGATTGTTTGTTTCAATAATTTTGCTGGAGGATACATAAAATTAGGGTAGCATTAATATTCATATACTTATTGAAATTTATATGCGTATAAATACATATTTATTATATAGAACCACACAACAGCCCAGCGACGTCATGGTGAACTCAACTACATTTACATACATATGAGTTTTTTGTTGTTGTTGTTTTTATTGTTATTTAATTATTTTTTGCCTATATAACTACTACATGTATTATGTATTGTAGATTTAAAAAAAAAAAAAAAAACTTTGGTTAAAATTTTTGGTGCGCTTGTCCACTCTCAGCGCTTTTGTTCAACTCGCTGCTGCCACTTTTACGCCAATTACTCGTATTCTTATAATTTCCACATATTCTTTGATTATTTTGCTTCTCCTGATAAATTCATGCTTATATACTGTTTGTTTTTAATAAAAAAAAAAATTTTGTTCACTTAAATAAATATTTTATTTTACAATTTTTGTCATTCATAATATTTTTTTTTTTTTTGAAAATTTTCAAATTAATTTTTCGTAATTTTTGTTGTTATTGTTTATTAATTTTATTAATTTCATATTTATTTTTTATTTATATTTTATTTATATTTTAATTCAAAATATTTTTTTTTATTATTTTTGATTTGAAAATTTTTCATTTAAATGTATATTCAACACTTTTTGTGTTAAAATATTAAAAAAGTATATTTTTTATGTTAAAACATTTTAAAAATTGTGATTTTACAAAACAAAATTTGAAGTTTTGGTAGCTTTATACAGTTTTGAAACATCTGAAATACTTCGAAAAAAATCTGAGTTTTACTTAATTTTAACTTTTTACAATATTTGTATAAAAATAGGAAGAAAATTTAATTTTTACACGGATGTTTAAAATAAATTTCAAATAAATAAATATTTTTATTTAATTTTTGCAAATTTTAAAATTGAAAATTGGGCAATTTTTCGAAGCGATTGAAATTTTATTTGAAAATTTTATTTAAAAATGAAAAATTAATTCTTAATTTTTTGAAATTTAAGCGCTCGTACTTTTTTACCAGAATATTTTTTTTCTAATTAACATTTGAAACAGCTTTTTGTCGTTTGGGAATTTTATGAGAAAGAATTTCAAAAAAATTTAAGCTTTTGTTATATTTACAAATAAAATTTTATTTTTTAATCTGTATAATTTATAAATTGAAAAAAAAAACGCAATACATTTGTGAGTTCAAAATTTTTCCACATCGTTCTCGTCTCGTCTCAAAATCTGATATATTGAAAGTATATTTTAAAAAATTTCCAATATTTTTCAAATAAAGCGCTTTAATATTTCATGAAAATCTTTCGAATATTTTGAATTTTTCAAAACATTTTTATCAAAAAGATTTAAAACACTTTTTCAATTACAAAAAAACTATAAAACTAAAAAAATTAAAAAAAAAAAATTTTAGCGCGAGAAAATAATTTTTTTAAGTGAACATTTTTTAAGAAATGTATATTTGAAAAAAAAAACGGCTTAGCTCAAATTTTCAATAATTGGAAAAAGTTTTTATATGTTTTGAATTGAAATATGTAAGAATTTTTCAAGTAAAATTGAAATTTTCAAAATTTTTCAAGTAAAATTGAAATTTTCAAAAATTTTCAAAATTTGTGTTTTCTCATTATTCTTTTTTTTTTTTTGGCAATTAAAAACATTCAGCCAAAAATCGAATAAACCAAATTTCGATTTTGAACACTATTTTTTAAGCGATTTTTTTTTACTGAGAAATCACATGAATTACCAAAAATAACAGTTTTAGAGTAAAAATTGGCAGTTATTAAAATTTAGAGACACTAACAATTATTTGCTATAAAAATAATTTAAAATAAGTATGTAGTTAAAAACAAATTTGAAAACTAGAAAATTTAAAATTGAAAAATTTAATTTTTTTCAAGTTCTTAAATTCAATTTTTTTTTTTAATTTAAAATTAAAAAACAAAACAAGTTTTGAAGTTTTTAAATTAGAAAATTTTCAATTTAAAAAGTTTAAATTTTAAAAATTAAAACTTTGAAATTTTTCGTTTTGAAAATGCAACTTAGCACGTGCAGCGCATCTTAAAAACTACATTTTTGGAAATATATATGTATGTATTTTTTATATTTTTTTTTATTTTTTACATTTAGCGCACAAATTGAAAGCTTAATTGGCTTGATTTCTACCTTCAAATCTCCACCTTGCCGCCTACACTGCCCAACTTACGTGCATGTGCTCACACGTCAGCCGCTTTTATACTGCGACCGCACACCTTTCTTACAGACTAAATAATTTAATAAATTTAATTTAATAATAGAAATTATTTTATTATATTTTTTTTCCTTCACTGCGCCGGCTGTTGTTGTGTTTGCTGCGCGCCTGACGACGCTAAGCTCGTTTGCTGTTGCTGTTGCTGTTGCTGTTGTTGTTGCTGCTGCTGCTGCTGCTGCGTTTCATAGCGCTGACGTAGTGCAGTAAGCGCGCTCAACAAACGACTATTAGCCGCATCGAGCGCGGCAATTTGCTGACCTTGCTCCTCGATGACGCGCTGTTTGTGTGACAAAGCCAACGACATTTTCAGCTGTTCGCGACGCAACTCCTCCTCCATTGTGATAAGCCTGTAATGAGTTGCGTAATGAGTAATTTTTATAAACACAAACGTGTAAGCGCACATACGCGCCTCTCTACTCACCTATCAATAATACTGCGCATTGTCGACTCCGATTGCATACTCAGATTACTCACACCACTGCCGCCGCTACCGCCATTAACGCTATTGTGACGATTCAAGGCGAATAGCTCATCACTCGAATCACGTAGCTCGGCCTCATCGCGATCGAGCGTGTGACGCAGCGTATCGAGAGTTTCCTGCAGCAATTGTATTTCGCCATTTTGATCGAAGCTGCCGCTATTCGCGCTGCCTGCGCTACCGCCAGTGCTGCTGTTGCCGGCTGCCGTAACGTGTTGCTGTTGATGGTGATGAGCGGCGGCGTTGGTGTGCGCGCGTGGTTGACGACGGCGTTTGCCCTCGTGTGGCGCGCAATGACCTGTAGAGGGAAAGAGCATGAACAAATTGTATAAATTACCGTTATAAGCACATATATAATTGCAGTTATATATAGTTTGTACACTCACCTTCCGTATCTGTTGAGCTATCGCTGAGCGTGCGCGCCGAGTCCAAACTCAAGCGCCGCTGATAGCGTCCACCCATGCCGACGCCATTGTGCGCCAGCCCACTGCTCGGTTTGCCAAAGCCGTTATTACTGAAGAGACCACTTGCCGCGTTAGACGCTGCCACTGCTGCTGCTGGCATATAACTGCCACTGCTGTGACCAGCACCATTAACGGGCGCATAAACATCTTCGCGTTTAAATTGTGGATTAGTGCGTGGCATGCGCGCACCACTCGCTGTAGATTGTATGGAGACCGGTCCGAGTCCAATATTGGCGCCAGACGATGATGAGCTGCTGCCGCCGCTGAGTGAGCGTTGCGCTTCTAAGTGACCATGCGAAGGCGATTTCATGAGTTTGTTATTGCCGGCGCCACCACCAAAGCCATGATAGTTATCAGCAGAGAGACGTTCCTCTGAAGAAGAAGGCGTCAGCGCGCCGCCATTATTCAAAAGCGCTGCGCGGGCAGCTACAAGACCGCCACCTTGTACTTTCGGCCGCTGCGCAGCAGAAGAGCCAAACAGCTGCTGGTGGGCAGACTGTTGTTGATTGCCGCCGGCGTGAAAACCACTGCTATAGTTGACGCGCTGATGATGATGATGGTGGTGGTGATGATGCGCGGATGTGGCGCTGCCGCCTGCCGACTGTTGCTGCTGCAACTGGTATGTGGGATTCTTGAAAGCGAGCGGCGTGCTGCCGCCAATACTCTTTTGCTGCTGCAACTGTTGCTGTTGCTGCTGTTGTTGTTCGATGGGGCTTGACGACTGCGACGGCGGATTTGTGGCAATGCTTTGATAGCCCGACGAGCAGTGACTACTCTTGGCCGACAACTGCTCACGCGCATTTTTCAGCGCATGTTGGCCGCCCGCCTGCGCATTGTTTGCAGAGACTATCTCACCCACAACGGCATGCTCTTCGGCGTACTTGAAGAGATCATCCAGGTCTTCTAAGTTCATGGGCATGTTCGGATGTGGATTGGAGTCGCGCGTTGCATGCATGTGTGCGCCTGCTGCGGGCGGTGGTCTTTGGTATGCGGGCAACTTGTGTGCGTGTGACGTCGAGGATGCTGCACCGCCACCACTATGATCCGGTATACCGAGATTAAGTTTGCTCGGTGTGCGCTCATTCAGCACCAAGCTCACGTTCGAGTTGTGCAACTTCTGACGTTGTTGCTGTGCTGCCATCTGTTGCTGCTGTAAGTGCGCGGCATTACCCTTCAGCAAGGGCGTTGGTGACTTGCGCACGAAGGCGCTGTTCGTATCCAAGCCGGAAATTTGTATGAATTCACCGTTGGCCAAATCTTCATAGTTGTTATTGTTGCCGCGTGGTAGCGTCGTAGCGCGCAGCATGCCATCGCTATCATTGCCATTGTGACTGCTCAAGTTGCTGCTGCTCGCAAGCGACGATGACATATTGCCGTTACTGCTGCCTAAAAGGCCGTAGTAGTGCGCGTTGTTGCCACCGCCGCCGCCGCCGACATGCAAGCGTTCAATAGTATTACTAGCGCTAGCGGCAGGCGCTGGTGGGCAATGATGCTGCACGTTGGTGGAGATGAGTAAATTGTGACTACTGCCGCCGGCGCCGCCGTTGATGGAAGACGAAGCGAGCGAACTTTGTGACTGCGCGTGTTGGAGCTGCGTGCTCATGTAGCCGCCGACAATGGAGCTTTGAGAGTTCGAGTGACGCTTGTCTAGTGCGCTGTTGCTGCCCATGCCCGTATGCTGGCTTTGTAACTGATGCCCATGAGCGAGTTGTTGCTGCTGCTGTTGCTGTTGTTGCTGCTGTAGCAGCGCATTCACTGTTGGATCGTTATAGCGGAAGATGTTCTTCTCCAGCGAGCTCGGCGTCAGCACGCCGCGCATAATGCCGCGCTCGGCCGATATTGGCTTCGTGACGATGGCATGTTGTGGCTGCGCCAGCTGCGCTTGATGTTGTATGGGCTGGTGTTGTTGTTGCTGCTGTTGCTGCTGCACTTGCATGGCCGCATCGTCAGGATTGCGGTTCTCCTGATTCTCAGTTGGCGTATGCGACGTGCTCATATGTGGCATGTGCTGCATGAAATTGTTGCTCTCTTTGGCTTTGCGTATCTCGTCGAGTATGTGTTGCAGTGGATCGAGCTCATGTTGGCGCGCCTCCGGCAGCTTGGTGATGCTCTCGCTGAGCAGTATGTGCAATATAGAGAGCTGCTTGCCCTGATCTATGTACCCCGCCCAATCGAGTATGGACTCGGGTGCTGCATGCTCAGGCCGTGTAGAGATCTGCTGCAAGAACTCTTTCATGCGCGGCGCTTCTTGCTCGAGGAAATCATTGAGAAACTCCATAAAGCTCTCCTTGCCCTGGAAACGCGTGAAGTTCGCAAGTGTTTGGAGCGTTTTGGCGACCAACGTTAGATTGCGTGTGGCGCGTGCGGAGGGTAGCTCTGTAAGCAGAAGTAAATGGGATTAATAAATAATAGGGCACTTCGAACAAAAGTTTCAAAACTCACCATTGGTTATATTGAATAAGCTCGGCGACAGTATGGCCGGACAAAGAAAGCGCAAAAAGATGGAGGCCGATATCAAATTATCCGCCATATCCTGTCGTCCCAACTGCTGCAGACGCTCGCGAAAGGTCGCAAAGCATGTGCGCAGCTGTTGTGGGAAGTGTTTGTGTGACTCGTAAATGCACTGCCAGGCGCTGCGCACCGCTGCACGCAGTGACGCTTGTTGACGTTGCAGTGAACCGCTTGCTTTTGTCGGATCCACCTCACAATCGCGATCCGATTGTATAATCTCATTGATCGGCGCCGAGAGCGTGTCCTGTAAATACTGCTCGCCCGTCAACTTGAGAAAGGCTTCCATACTCTTCGTGGCCAACGAATTGCCGCGGAATGTGAGTCGCTGATCGCCGACACGTAACAAATCCAACGCTACAACATCGGTGAGAAAGGCGCCAGCTAAGCCCTGCGCATGCATTAATAGCACGAGTGCCTGCCCAATGTCCTCTTTGGCTTTGACGCCGATAACCGGTTCGAGCGTTTCGCACACGCGCTTATAATTATTCTTCAAATACTCGAGAAAGTCGGCGTACACATTGATGGGAAGGATATCCGTGCTTTGGAAGCGACATTTAATGCGTAGCGTCGGTATCACTTCCTTACCATTGCGATTTAGGCTGTCGCTCGCTTTCTCACTCAGTATCGGATACCAGTCCTCGGAGAAAATGCGTGAGGTCACCTCGTGTATTGGTATTTTCACCGAACCAACAAACATATGTTTGTCGCGCTTCTTCTTCTTTTCCACCTCACGAAACACATTCACCGTGATCACATTGATGTCAGGCACATCGGGAAAATCGAAATATTCACCCCAGAAGAGTAAGTCGGTTTGTAGCTTGACGCTCGTGCGTCCATATAACGCCTTATCTAAGTGAAGCTCGCAGAAATATTTCTTCTTTGGTTGCAAATTCTTCGCCTCATAGATCCACATCTTTAGCGAATTATCTGTGTGACGTGTGTGCTCGGCATTCGGTGATATCGACTTGCGTAGCGAGTATATCCAGAGATCGCGCTCCTGCCGCGAGCCGCAGGCGTAATAGCGTTCACCTCGTGGGCCGCCACGCACTTGAAAACAATGACGACGGCCGAGCACGGATTGATGTACTGGTGCGACACCAACTGCGCCGGTGCAAGAGAGATCTGGAAAAGAGCAAAATATTATTTTAAGTGAGCCAGAAGAGATATAGAATGCTAAAATGGACAAGAGATGTAGAGCTCAAGAGGAGAAAATAAAAGAGTTGAGGATTCACCGGAAAGGATAATGTGTAGACGAGCTCAGGGAAAAAGTTATGGGGAGAGAGAGTGAGAAGAGGGGAAAGATAGAGTGAGAAGAGAGGGAAGAGGGGGAAGAGATAGAGAGAGAGAGAGAGAGAGAGAGAGATCGTCAAACACTTACCGATCGACGACATGACTGCATGACTGGAGAGCAAACTCTCATGCGAACGTGAGCCGCGTAAGCCGCCAGAGCCTCTTTTAGTGCGTTCCAATTTGGTAACTGATTTTGTACGTTTAAGCGGATTTGATCTGTAAAGAAAAGAGAAATATTTTAATACAAAAGAGATAAAGAAAGGAAATGAAATTAAGATGATATTGGCAGAGAGATCAAGGAAGATGATATATCAAGCATATAGTATAACGATTAGGAAGACTTCTGCTGACTAGAGTTTAAGAAGTCATCAAGATGTGGTTGTTCGCATGGCCGGGTGTGGGTAATCACGGGATCCATTGCCCAGCTAGCTTGTTGATTTCCCCAACGTCTTTCCAAAACCCTTCCGCCCCTATTTCAATTTGTGGCTTGCATCTTGATTGAGGAACCTACAGTTTATTCCAAGCCGCCTCTGAGCGGCCGACGGATTTTTCTGAGCAGCTTTTATTTTATTTGGAAAAGGAGCTCGGCCGAAAATCGCTTCAGCGGTTACAAAGCGCCAATTATATATATATTTTTATTGTAATTCCCTACCAAGAGGTGACCGGTTGCTCAAACCAGGACTCAAACACTGGCCTTCCGAATGGCAATGCGCAATACTAACTACTCGGCTACCGCTTTAACGAACTTAATGATCGATAATTAAGCTGCTCTTTATACGGGGTTTGACTCTTCGGAGTGCCTTAACAGATGGAGACGACTATAAGAACAGCAAATAGTTTGTGCAAACCACTCTTTTAGATTTTATAGATTTTCTAATCTTTTTTTTTACAAGATTTGCATATTATTTATTTTAGTATTAATTTATATTAAGTGGAAAAAATTTTCTTTTTTAAAAGTTTGTGCAAGTTTTGGCTTGGGTAACTTCAATTATTTTATTTAATTTCCATCACATTAAATAATTTGAAATGACAAAAATTAAGTACATCAAAAAAAAATGTACAGTCCAGTTTGCGCAAACTTTTCCTTACGTTTAATGCAAAATTTTCATATTTTTTAATATTAATTTTAGTTTCCCTTTTTATCTTGTTTTCAAAATGAATTAATTAACTTTTCTCTATAATCATGCAATTTTATGCAAAATTAACCCTACAGCCATTGACTTCATTTAGATCAATGTTGCCAACATTTTGTGACAGCTGATATGCAAAAGTAACAAACTTCATTTCTTTTCCGGCAAAAGCAAAAATAAAAGTAATATTTTAATTGAATGCTCAGACATTTGACATGCCACATTATTGCCACACCTGTCGTCGTCAAATGCTTGAAAAGTTGTATGAAAGCTTTTAAAAGGGTTGCGTGTTCAAGCGACATTTATATTGCAAGCGAGGGACATATTAAACAGAAAATAACATACATATATGTAATTTAGAAAAAAAAATTACAAAAATAAAACTTAAAAATAAAAAACATACAAAAACTAAAAAAATATAAATCTACATATGAAAAAAAAACAACAAAATTAAAAACTTAAAATTAAAAAAAAACACGAATAAAAAAAAAATAAAAAAATAATTTGATAAAACAGCTAAAAAAGGCAAATAATTAAACAACCAAAAAATAAGCGAAACGTTAAACATCAAAAACAGATAAAAAATTTTATAAAAATAAAAAATTCAAATAAATCCAAATAAATAAAATAAAGCGAAAAACATATTAGGAAAAAATATATAATAATAAAAATTAAAGAAAAAATTACAAAAAAATATAAAATATAGATTATAATATTAAAAAAAAAAATTAAGAAATAAAATATAACAAAATTAGAAAACAAAAATAAAATAAATAATAAAAAAAGTGTAGAAAAAAGTTAAAAATGTAACTAAATAATATGAAAAAAAAATAGAAATATTAAAAAAATCTAAATAAATAAAATAAAACAAAAAGTAAAAAATAAAAAATAAATATAATGAAGTATAAGGTAATATAAATAATAACGAAAAAAAACTAAAAAAAAGGAAATAATAGATTAAAAATATTAAAATATAAATAAAACATGATAAAAAATTATAATTAATAAAATAAAAAACAAAATTATGAAATAAAAATAAAATAATATATAAAATGAAAATAAAAAATAAGGAAAAGGTTAAAAGGGAAAACGACAAAATTGATAAAAACATTGAAAAATAGAGACAAAATAAAAATAAATAAAATAAAACAACAAATGTAAGAATAAGAAAAATATACGATTAAAAAAAATTACAGAAAATAATAAAAAAAAACTAAAAAAATTGATAAAAACAGAATAAAACTAATAATATGTTTATTTAATTTATAAAAAAAAAAATAAATATTAGGAAATATAAAAAAATAAGTAAAACATAATATATAAAACTAAAGAAAAATTAAAAAAAAATAAGAAATAGATAAAAAAATTAAAAATAATAATAAACATAAAACAAAAGAAAAAAAGAAAAATGTAGGAATCAAAAAAATAAATAAAAACAATTAAAAGTTAGGAAAAAAAAATACCAAAATTTAATACATAACACTGAAGAGAATTAAAAAAAAAATTAAAAATTATAATAATTATAAATCAAAATAAATAAAATGGAAAAAAGGAATCAAAAAAATATATATAAATTTAAAAAATTATTGAAAAAATTAAAAAAAAATTGAAAAGTTGCTAAAAAGCTGAATAAAGTATTAAAATAATAAATATTAAAGTATAATAAAATATTAAAATTTAATAAAATAAAACAATGAAAAATTAGGAAAAATAAAAAAAAACTAGTAAAATTTAATACAAAACACTGAAGAGAATTAAAAAAAAAACTAAAAATAATAATAAATATAAATCAAAATAAATAAAATGGAAAAAGTAGGAATCAAAAAAAAATATATATAAATTTAAAAAATTATTGAAAAAACTAAAAACAAAATTGAAAAATTGATAAAAAGTAGAATAAAATATTAAAATAATAAATATTAAAGTATAATAAAATATTAAAATATTAAAATTTAATAAAATAAAACAATGAAAAATTAGGAAAAATAAAAAAATTAGTAAAATTTAATACAAAACACTGAAGAGAATTAAAAAAAAACTAAAAATAATAATAAATATAAATCAAAATAAATAAAATGGAAAAAGTAGGAATCAAAAAAATATATAAAATAATAAAATTTAGTAAAACAAAACAATGAAAATTAGGAAATATAAAAGAAATAAGTAAAATATAAAATCAAAAAAATTAAATAAGTAATTTAAAAAAATAAATAATAGCAAAAAGATAATACATATTAAAAAAATCAAAATAAAAAAAAAATAAACCTAAAATACCTTAAACAAAAATTAATAATATATTAATGTATGAAATTATAAAATAAAATATAAAAATTGATAAAAAACATAAAAAGTAGATAAAAAAAAACTAAAGAAAAAATCAAAAACAATAACAAAGACATAAAATATATTAAAATAAATAAATAAAATAAAAAAATTAGAAAATCCAAAATTAAAAAAAGAAAAAATATAAAAATAAAAAAAATAAAATAGAAAAAATTATGTAAAACTTTATAAAAAAAATAAAAACAATAAAATAAATTACACAAAAATCATAAAATTTATAGCAGAAAAATATAGAAATATTAAAAAATTAAACAAACAAATTTATATAAAACTACATAAAAAAATCAAAACCAAAAAATAAATTACACATAAATAAGAAAATAATAGTAGAAAAATAAAGAAACAATTTAAAATATTAAAAAAATAAAATAAAATAATATTAAACAATTTTATGAGCTCCCAGGCCGCATTGCCAACGCAACCAATTACTAGCTGACCAAGCCGAAATGCATCATGCAACGTACTTCCGATTCGCTATCAGCTGACTTTTGTAAAATTTATTATTTTACACTTGAGCCCCATAATAAAATGGTCAAAATGAACATCAGCCAAGCAAACGGCGAGCAAATGGACTGACAGCAATTTTTATGGCATGCCTCAGCAAATAGAGCAATCCGTTGCCATGACAATGGATGGATAAAGGCAGACATTGAATTTACAATGCGAAATAGCAATAAAAGTTTTCGAATTTTTGCACACTGCCAATTTCCATGTAACAACTGCCGGAAAAGTCAGTGAACTGAATTGAAAATAAACTCAGCCGCACTGACGGACGTCCGTCCATCAACAAAAGGGTGTTACTTACGGTGCATAACAAACATAAAAGCCCTACGGTAGTTGGCCGATTGTATGTATTTATCGTTTCTTTTTTGGAGACGCCAAGTGAACTCAGATACCTCTGGACTTTGTCACCCCACCATAGTGGCGGGTTTTCCGCTGTCTGTTTGTTCGCTGAACATGTCAACGCCGCCATATAACTGGTAAAGTTCATCGTCGCATCGTCTGCATTATTCTCCGTTGGTATTGCGCAATATCTCGTTCTCCGTAACTTCTAATGCCGACTCATCGTATGTTACAATCATATTACAGCAGGGTATGGTGCTCGGAAAGGTGCCAAGCGTTCCTTTTTTGGAGATACCAATTAAAATATGGCCCCTATAGACCTTCTCTCTCCATCGTACTGGTAGTGTTCCGCTGCATAGCCGCTGTCCCCCTGTTCGCTGACCATAAATCTATCGCAAAACCTCGTTCTCGGTAACTACTAATGCCGACTCATCGGAGTTTGTAATCATTTAGCCCAGCGAACTATATAGCAGCAAGAGAATGATGCTCGGAGAAGTCCTTTCCGCTACTACAAAGCGTCAATTTGCATATCCGTGTAAGTGATGTGTGTCGATACTTTTCTCACGGGTCTTTTCAAACATTTTAAGCATGGTAAATATGTACCTAATAGCGGATTTGATGGGCCTGATGATTTACAGTGAAGGTCCCAGTAGTTCGTTGACGGTTGGTCTTTTCTTTACGGGTCTTACCCACTTATAGGTTTGGCAGAGCATAAGTACTTTATCTAATCAGCATAATTGAAGAGCTCAGACGGTTAGTCGTCGACTCTCGCCGTCATCTCTCTTTGCACTGCTGTTCAGCAGGTTGCAGAAGTGTTCTCTCCATCATCATCATGTTCATAGGTCACTGTATCACATTTTTGGCTGCTACAAAAGTATGCTTCGGCTTCGGTTAGCTAGTTTCTCAAGCTGGTCATTCTCATGCTTTGTGGCCGATCACTTTTACTGTCTGCATACCTCTTGGTATCTTTTCCATAGCAACATTGCGAGGTAGGCAGTCCGTTTTCTTTCCACTGCGAGACGGCAATCCTCAATGTACTAGTACTTCTTTCAACTTTACCTGCTGAATGATGGGAATTTGAAATGCGTCTCCACAGCTCTCTTATGCCGAGTAACTGATGAGTGCTCTCAGCTAGCAGGAGTGATTCTAGCTACTCGACGTCCCAAAGTTCTTATGCTTGTCGACGGTAGTTCTTTATACTACACAGAGGCGAAAGTCAGTATTTGGACCCCATCGCCTAAGCACATCAAGAACTCTGGAGATATGGTACATTTGGTTACGAGTTCCTGATGAATTCTTTACTGCGGAAAGCTAGTACTAGAGAGGACCAGTCTAGAGGAGGCCACGGTGATCATAGAAGTTATTCTTGGACTCATCCTCACTCTCTTGCGATTGTAGCGATACGTTTCTCCACTGGAATGAGTGATAGTACTCTATAGCGGAGTCTCTTTCATATCACAAATCTAACAAGAAATTTTTGCACCTTTAAAAATATTTGGAATGTTAGTATACGCCACAAGGATCTACTCCCTTACGTACTAGTCAAGTTCGTCGTCTCTTGTACTTGTACATTTATATTTCTATTTCTGATTTTTTTGTTAATTGATTAATTTACTTACCGTTTTGAAAAGAAATTCGTTAATCTTGATGTTGTACTATTTTCTTGTTGTTGCTGTTTTTGACCCAATATGGGTGTCGCTGGTGCTGAGCCACGCCTACATGCCTTCTCATATGAAGTGTCTGTAAGTCAAGAGAGAGAGAGAGAAAAAATTAATTTTTTTTTTCAAAATATTATATTTTAATAACTTATTATTAATTAAACAACAGCCATGCGCTGTATAATTAAGCGCCTGATTGTAGGCAACGGTAAATTATTACTGGCACTATTTTGCATGAAACGTTGCCTACATTTGGGGTGGCATTAATTTAGTTCTAAAATCAAAACGTATGGATGAGAGGTGAATTTAAAAAAAATCTGCGTAAAACGAAGGTGATAAAATTCTTTTAATTGCATTTTATTTACGTTTTTTATTTCGAAACCACAAAATGGATTTTTTTTTTTACAAAAACATGAACGCGAAATATAATTATAATAAATATACCATCTGATAGTGTTCCAAGTGACGTCATACATTTTATTACTATTTAAATAGTAGAGATCATAATTTATGTATATTATGACATTTTTTTTATCCCATAATTTGTGTTCATGTAAGATATAAAATTTTACAAGTTTAAAAAAAAAATTATATGAAGGCGAAACTGCATCATTTATGTAGCATTCCGAAATAAATCGAATGAATCACATTTTTTTTTTTTTTGACAAATAAATGAAATTTATACGAATTACTAAGAAGAAAAATCGCATGCGATAATTTAACAACATTTCACAGAAGAATTACCATTTAGACTCTTTATAGAAATAAAAGTTAACGCCAAAAATAAAGCAAATCAAATAGATATGTTTGTAAATATTAATAAATGCGAATTCCAGCGAAAAGTAAACACAATTCACTATACTGACATACATACATACACGTACATATATACATATGCAGATACAAAGACAGTACATGAGATGCACAAGGAATTTATTGCAATTGGAACAATGGCAAGCGTGCGGACGATGGTCAGTTAATATGAATAAATATGTATGTATGTTGTATGTATATATGTATATATGTGTAAGTATCAAGAGCCAAGGAGCCAAGCAAGCAACCAACAAAGGGCACAGGCTAAGCACGCCAGGCAGAGCACGAGGGTAACCAGAGAGAGATATGTATAGAAGCACAAGTCATATATATACATATATATATACATATGTATATACACATACATGTATGTAAAACGTTATGTTTGTATGTACGCTTGTGCTGAACTAACCCAACCACTTAACTTCAAGTCAAGAAAAATAACTTGAAAATATGCATAAAAACGCATATTTGTATGTATGTATGTATGTATATTTGATTGGCTGAACGCACAAAGGGATCACCACAAAACATGCAGGAATGTGGAAAATAAATATAAAAAAATAAAATACAATAAAAAAATTCAGTAAGCATTGAGGCATGCAAGCCACAGAGCGCTTGAATTAATAACAATTAAAATATGCGTAAATAAATAAAAAAGAAAAAAAACTTATGAAAAAAGTAAACAAATATTAAAATTAATTTTTGTATTAGAAAACTGAACAAAATGTGGGGAGATTAAAATATTAAAATTCCTGGGTAAGAATTTGGGTTATATTTACATTAAAAAAATTATATTTAAGATATAGAAATTATGAATTTATATTGACAAAATTTAAAAAAATTATTATTATATTTATTAAATTAAAAAAAAAAATTCTGTCGAAAAATACTCTTCGGAAATTTGTTCGATTTGTATTATTATTAAAGTTAATATAAATGAAAATAATTTTAAAAATTAAAAAAAATTAAATAAAAATTAATCAAGTGCCTTCACTGCTCCTAAGCAAGTATGCAAGAAGGGTGGATAACAGTAAAGATTCTTCTTACTTTTTCATGAATATACAGCAAACAAACATATCGAACCTTTAAGAGATAGCGTGGAGTACGTTCCGACTGATATTAGAAATTGAGCGATGAGCGACTTCAAACCGTTCACATTCCAAGGAGCAGACAGACAGCTTTTAATTGTGATGTCAATATCTTCTTATTCTTTTTTACTGATGTCAATATGTGAAATCTTAAACTAAACCAAATTAAATTATTTTACATTGTTAAATTTAAATTTTTTTGCCAAAGAAAATTCTAGAAAATTCGACCGCTCCCATTTAGTTCCAGTTCTAAGGGAGCATGGGGGGACAAACGATTGACATGGTAAGACTGAATAAAGAGACAGTTCAGTGAGGCATCGAGCTTGGATAAGGGTCATGTGGTCAGTGCCGCGGAAAGTATCTTGAGGTACTTCAAATTGCCACCCTGGAAAGGAAAAGTCTGACAAGTAAAAATTTCGAGCGAAGTAAAACATCATTGCATTCTACATAACGCGAGCCCTAGGTACTCAGTAGCACTTGGAGTCAACTGCTGGACTATCGAGTACCCACAGAATCATCTCACAATGACGTCAGAATTCTCCGCCAGAACCTGAAAGCTGCTGGAATCCCAAAAGCGCAGGAAGGTGTGGTCCCCCAGCGGAACCTAGCAGTTCTCCACGGACGGATTAAGACGGCGCCAGAGTATATTTCGCAGAGGTAGATCTCAGTAGCATTTGAAGTCAAGGGTTGGAATTGGAAGGTTACGGACCCTACCAAGTAACTTTGGCCTTTTCTGCTAGAACCTGGAGCCTGCTGAAACCCCAAGACTTTCTTTTGGAGAGAAGATTTTACTGACGTAAAAGAGAGAGAGTGAATGGCGCAGCAAGGTGTGGCCCCACAGCGGAATTTAACATTTCTACACAGGCGGATGGCGAACTTTTCAAAGTACCAAAATACTGAGGTATTTTTAGACGGAACTTTTTCCCGTGAGTCGTTAACAGGATATTATGGAGTGCCTTAATGACACGCAACACACCCAATTCATGCTTGTGCGGCCTTAGAAGGACTGTAGGAGATTTGTGGGCAACCCACAAGCAACAGACGCGAGCAGAATTGGGACTCATGTAGGAAGCCAGAGAAGACAATCTGTAATGAGGCGTTGGAATAAACTCTTCTGTTTCTGAGCGGACCTAACTGGAACTCGTATAAGACATCTAGAAGTCACACTGTTCAGAGGAAATCGAATTTCCCCCAAAAAGCGCCGACGACGTCCTACGTAGCGACTACTTTAAATCGAGCAGTCGAAAAAGCAACAAATAAAACAAAAGTAAGGAAGCCAAAGTACAAAATAAAATGAGGGTTCAACACGCACTGCAGGAATACTGAAAAATGGAATAAAGGCAAACAAAAAACAACAACAAAAAATACAAAAAAAACAACAACAAAAAATACAAAAAAAAAAACAACAACAAAAAATACAAAAAAAAAATGATAAAAAAGACGCACTAAAACACGGCAGCGAGAAATTGAGTTGAAAACATTTGAAAGTAGTGCAAAAACACGCTGCAACAACAAAGAAACAAACGAACGCTCGAGGAAAATAAAATTCTTCAGCAGAAGGCAGCTGTTGGTTGGTTGGTTAATCGCTGTTGGTGGATTGCAACACTTTGAGGTAAGCAGACACACAAATGTACACACACATATTTATATTTGTTTATATGGAAATTGTGCTGAAACAACAACAACAATAAGAATAAAAGGCAACAACACATGTAATGACTGTGAGGAGTAGGCAGGCGGTGAATGCGCGCGTTAACGCATTTCTGGAGCAGGCCAAGTGTTTGATTGTTGTTGTTGCTGTTGCTGTTGCTGTTGCCGGTGTGGAGCTGTTGAGCTCAGTGCGCGTGCTTTAAGAGATTTGGTAATATATTTTGATAGGCAACGATGTTAAAATTTTTGATATACAGGGTGCGCCATCTATGTGTATGGTCAATGGCAATGTTGCATAACTTGAAAAATATTCAATGAATTTTGATAAATTTTTTTTATTAACCAATTCAAAGCCTGACAATTTTTTCCAGCGAAGTACGAGAAACAATGTCGATCAAATGACTTCCTTTATTCAAAACTTCGCTCTTTTTTCGGCTTTTTTCATGACATTTGTGCCAGCATCTCGGGCGATAAAGCAGCGATTTCAGCTGGAATGTTGACCTTTAGCTCGTCTAGAGTCTTCGGTTTGTAGGCATACACTTTACTTTTCAAAAGGCACCCACAAGAAAAAGTCCGCTGCAGTCCAATCGGGCGATTTTGGTGACCAGTCGATATCTGCTCCTTTCGATACCACACGTCTGAGGAGCTTTTGTCGCAAGAATTTTATAGTTGACTGCGCTGTGTGACATGTTGCGCCACCTTGTTGGAACCAAAAGTTTTTCGAACCTTTTTCACGCATTTTACAATACGATTTCCGATACGGAGCTTCTTATTTTCATGTTACAAAGACACTCGGAGGTCTTGATATGTGCCTTGCCGAGGGGCGACGGCTATTGGAAAAATTAATTTTGTCATGTAAAAATATTGTATTCTGATCAAAAGCATTCGAAAAATATGGGCGAGCTCTAATATAAATTTTTCTAATCAATTTTTCATTGAAGAAACAACAACAAAGTGCACGCAATGAGCCAGACGGACGGCGTGTGTTTTACTATGCAAGTGTTTTCCGCTTCATTGTATTTTTGCTATAATTTTCTATAATTTTTTTTCTTTTAACGGCTTAAAATATTGTTTATATTTACATATACATATGTATGTATGTATGTATATAGGCATATTGCCTTTCTACGCATTCACTGCGCCAAATTGTTGCAACATTTCAAATGTAATGTAATCGCTGCTCTTACTCATAGATACGGCACATGTAATAAATATATATATAAATATATGTATGTACTTTATGTAGTTGTAACATTTCTCAATTTCATTCAACAATATCTATTTATGAATTATTTATTAATTTCTGTTGTTGCTGTTTTCTTTGTAGGTATTTATGTACCATATATACATATGTGTGGAAAAATCGCACGCGTTTCTCGCTTGTTGTCTGGAATCTCTAAGCGTCTATTCACCTGCGTCTGGTTTTGAAGTCTTTTTATGCTTCATTTATCATTAAGTATGCCCATAATGTGAAGTATTTGAGCTAAACTATGCAATACTGCAGAGATAAGTAAATATTCAATTGCGG